AAAAAAAAAAAAAAAAAAAAAAAAAAAAAAAAAAGAAAGAAAAGAGCCCCATGTATCTTACTAGATCACCTGGTTTAAAATTAGAATTCAACAGCAATACTAATTCTAGAAAGCCCACAAACCCATGGAAATTAAACAGTGCTCACCTGAGTCATCAATGGGTCAAGGAAGAAATAAAGGTAGAAATTAAATCTTCCTAAAATTCAGTGAAAATGACCAGAAAACATACCCAAATTTAAGGATCACAATGAAAACAGTGTTAGGAAAGTTCATAGCACTAAATGCCTACATAAAGAAGCTGGAAAAATCCCACACTAGTGAGTTAACAGAACACTTGAAAATTCTAGAACCAAAAGAAGCAAACTAGAGGGCAGGAAACCATCAAATTAATGCTGGGAATGGAGCCCTAGCTGTTATGATCCTTTTTTCCCTCATAGTCTTCCTCCTACACTCACCAGCATTTAGGTTTCTGTGAGGAGTAGAGATAGAGAAGTTGCCTCACACCTGTACTAGTTGTTCACACAATTTTGAATTCCTTGGCCGCAGGTAAAATTCATGACATGTAGTGTTGTCCTGTATTTTTCAGCTTGTTCATTCTCCCTGATCCCGTTTAATAGACGAGGTTTTTGTCTTTCATTCCTATGACAATTCACAAATACTCACAGATTTCCATGAATTCCTCTCTGGGTGCATTCATAGTGTATTATTATTTTTGTCTTCTTTTTCCATTTATTTAGTAAAGCTTTTGAGAATAGGAGCTACAAATTGTGTTGTATACTTGATGAGATTGATTTTAGAATGCATTATTCATTTGGTAACTTTTGAATGCAAACAAGAATGATAGCAATTGCTGTAAGGCAATAGGTTCAAATTTGTTCTTTCTCTCAGGCAGACTAGCCTTCTACCCTACCCATGGCTGTAACAGCAGCTCACAATTCCTTATCCAAAGATCTCAGACTCATAATTTTTATTCAGGTATTTTGATTGTTTGGGACATGAAATATTATACATATTTTCTTTGTTATAAATATTTAGCACATTATGATTAATTTATGATTTAAATGTATGAATATGTATCTATTAATATCTCAAACACAGACACTAACCTCAGGGTCTATAGTCAGAAAAATTCTGTTACAAAATAAATTCATGGAGGATTAAACTGGAAGATCCCTTAAAGGCATAATTTGTTTCCCACAGGTAAATAAACTGAGCTTGAGGTATATTTGGAATATAAATCACATACTTCATGTGACAAGTCTAGGAAATTGTAGAACTAAGCTTACAAACAATGCTGCATAATTCTTCTCTGTAAATACTTAGTTTCATACATAAATCTTCAATTCCAAAATTATAAAAATATTTGAAAATTTAAAATGGAAACACTTTGCATTTCTGTGGGTGTTTTCTTACTATATCTATATACTTTTTAAAGTTTTCTCACCATATTTTAGCTATCAGAACTATTATTTTTTGGCTTTCACAGATATAGTGAGGAACTAGGTGGGTGAATTCCAGGCTGGGTACTTTTGAACACTAACTTGTGCTTCCTTCCAAATTCGTGGAAAATATACTTTCATTTAAAAGAGATAACTAGATTAAAATAGATACATGGCTTCTGGGGCTTGTGAAATTATGTTCTTTTTTCATATCCTATAACTCAGACTTCCATGAAGATTAAATTTTAACCAATTTGATAGCTCAAATTTTTTGAAATTCATTTTAAATTTTATTATTAAAAATGATGCAAATACAAAAATTCACATATGGGCGTTAACTAGCCCCAAAGAATACTTCACTCAATGAACAGTTAGAATAGTCGTTCAAATCAGAAAGTGTGGAACCTTACAGATGATTTTATACTTCCGTAAATTTTTATATCTGACTTCTGACTCAAATCAGAGCATACTCAACATGAGGAAGAGAAGTTCATTGTAAAGAGAAGTAGCATAAATTTTAAGCATTCAGAATCTTTATAATTTAATTAATCCCTGTAATGAAATAAAATAAGTACAATATAACTATATTAAGTAAAACAATAAGAAGCAAAATGTTGTCCTATGTCTTAATGTAATAATATCTTCATCACAATACCTTAATAATACTTTAATATGTTTCACCCCAAGGGTAATCAAATGTTATAACTCATCAACTGTAAATATGCATTTCTGTTTCTATGGTGCTGGACACTGAACTCAAGGCTCCTGTGTGTTAGGAAAGTACTACATCCCTAACCTCAGCATTGCTTTTGTTTATTTTAGAATCATCCAGAAAAGAACAAAGTCATAGGAATGTTACTTGTGAAGAAATTTCCACCTGTCCCTGGGAGATAATTTCCATGTACACAGAATTTAGAAAATTAGTCTTGTTTAAACTTTTGATGATCGGGACAGAAGAAGATGTTGACAAAAGACTACGGGGGACAAATTGTAAAGCATTTGGAAGGAACAACCAGGAAAAGGTGTAAGATGACAAGCACACTTTTGGATAAATTGAGGTTTAAGATTTTTGTTTTATTCTTTTTATTAGTTTCCTAAGCTGGCATACAAAATAATGGGTCACATTATGAGAGTTCATACATACTTTATTCTTTTTAATCCCTGTCCCATGGACCAGCTCTTGCTTCTACCCTCAACCTTTCTTTTTTTTTCTTTTTTTTTATTTTATTGAGAATAAGAAAAAAAAAGTTTCTGCCTCCTCCCAGCCTCCCATTTCCCTCCCCCTCCCCCACTCTTCTCCCCCTTCCCCTCTCTTCTCCCCCTCCCCCCACACCTCTCACCCTCCCTCTCCTATCCAAAGAGCAGTCATGGTTCCATTACCTTCCTCCCATCCTCTCCTTCCCATTCTCTCCACCCCTCCCTCCCTCCCTTCCTTTTTCCTTCCTCCCTCCCTCCCTCAAGAAATCTTTCCCCTCTTTACCTAAAGCAGAGGAATAGTCCTTGCTTAGCATGTGAAAGGGCCTGAGTTTAGTCTCAGTTATCTCCAATAAGTAAATAGACAAATAAGAACTTTGTGTTTCTACCTGAATGTTAAATAGAGTTTAAACCTAGTTTATCTGCATTGTAAAAAGGGGAGCATATTTATGTTAACATTGCTGTTTACACACTGTCTTTGTTTCCTATCGCTCTGAAGAGACTCCATGACCAAGGCAACTCTTAGAAGAAAGCATTTAGTCGGGGCTTGCTTGCAGTTTCAGAGCGTTAATCCTTGATTTCTACTGGAGGAAGCAGAAAGGCATGGTGCTGGGACAGTAACAGAGTTTTACAAGTCTGAAACGCTGAGAGCGAGACTAGGCGTGGCACCAACCAGCAGCACACATCCTCCAACAAGGTCTCACTTCCTAATCCTTCCAAGGTAGTACTACTAACAGGGAAACAAACATTCATTATATGAGCTTGTGGTGGTTATTCTCATTCAAACCACCAATATACCTTAAAGAAAAATTAAAAATATATATTGTCAAGAAATTGAAGTGAGTTTTTCCTTATAAATAAGGCAGGATTATTTTATTTCTTATTTTTTTGACAGGCATGAGAGAGAAAAAAGAAACAGTTCTTTCGTAACTGGAAAGTCCTAGGACAGAAAAAGAGGAAACATGAATTTGGGAAGGGCATAAAAGGCTAACTGCAAATAAATCTTTTTTTTTAATTGTCCTCAGTTTTTTATGTTTTATTCCTTGAAGAAAAAATATACTACTTTCTTTTTCTTATGGTTTGTTTGAAAGCAAGCAATTTCTTGTTTGGTATGTCTCATTCTGAATTATTTCTGTCTAGTTTTCTATTATTTCACTTGCTTCTGTATATTATTTTGCTATTAAGAATACTTCTAAATGAAAGACCATATGTATTCATAAGAAAAAAATGGAACAACAAGTGTACATGTTTTAGATTTGCTGGCATCTTACCTATAT